TACAGCAGTCCAAAGTACAGTGCTGGTAGATGTAAATGCGACGCGCGCGCATTTCGGTGGTGGGGGGGCGTGAAAACCCGCGCTTAGTCAGCTCTAAACTGACGCGGGGGGCGTCAGTGTATTGGGACCCTTCTCGGGAGGCAAAAGAGGCTGTGTTCACGTGATACTATTTTCCCAAAAGGGTTTAGTTAAATTTTGACAAGGCTGTGGATTTTCGGGATGTGAATTGTTTCGAGGCTCAACCCAATCAACAAACCACTTCAACATGTCAAAAGCACGCACCGTCAAGGACCAGGTGGTCAAGCTGATTGTTGGAGCTGGACAAGCCAGTCCCAGTCCACCAGTTGGTCCTGCTTTGGGAAGTAAAGGTGTGAAATCTATGGATTTTTGCAAGGTATGTTAGAGATATCTTCTTAACACCAACATTTCCCTTCTCACCATACAAGCAATTGGCCAGCATACGCGCAAATGCCATGCGCTAATCTTTCAACAAGGAATTCAATGCCAGAACAGCTCATATAATCCCCGGGGTTCCAACACCAGTCCGCGTCACAGTGCGTCCCGATCGAAGCTTCCACTTTGAAGTCAGAACACCAGCAACGTCATATCTACTCCTCAGCGCAGCACAAGTTGAGCCAGTGAAAGGAAAACTGAAAGGGAAAACGGGCGCGACAATCGTTGGGACGATCAGCCTGAAGCATGTGTATGAGATTGCGAAGATTAAGCAGAGCGAATTGAGATTGAGTGGGTTGAGCTTGGAGGGTATCGCCAAATGTGTGGTTGCTCAAGCCAAGACAGTTGGCGTTGCGATTAAGCCATAAGGATGATTGGGAACTGGAGAATGATCTTGGATCTGGGGCTTGACGACGTCCATATGATTTTGCCCATGAATTTTGATTAAGGGACCGGCGGACCTGCGCCGAATGGCTGCGCTACCTCGACCCTGGGGCGACTACAAGTGTACCGTACAACCTTGACGAGTTACGAGGAGGGGAGTGCGTCTACAAGTTCCCAAGTTACACACGATATACCTGGTAGTTTGTACCCATTTACATCATCATTGCGGTGGCGTTTGGGATGGAGTAGCTCCTGTGGATATGCGAATGGGGCAAAAGTCCAATATGTAATTTTTTTGTACTTTTCTTTTGTACAATATCCAGGGTGCAGGATGGCTCAACCAGTTACATCAGCAGAAACCTTTTTCCAAGCAATGTTTTTTGGACTCTTCATACTTCTCGTGGCTCTTTTTTTGGAATTTGCAAGATATGAACCCTGGTCTTGCATGCTGACTGGCAGACGTTCTAGAAAAACCTAGTCAGAAAGGACCGAAAGCGGATCTCACCTAGGGCTGGGGTACGGAAAGGTCATAGCCTCGGCACATTTCAACCCCTCAAAGTGAAAATGATGATGCTCGATTCCGGATTTGCAGCTAGAAGCAGAAAAGAAGAATTCTAAATAGATCGAGTCAGGGAGAACAAGGAAGATCTCTTCATCTTCCACGTACGAAATACGAAGTTGATTTTCTGGAGGCGGAATCAATAATAAAAGCGGGTATCTGAGAAGGGGCTCGACGGTGAGTTGACTCAGTTGACTCATTGTCCACGTTCTGGTCGTGGAGTCCTCGGTCGTGGATGAATCCGGCTGGGTCAATCCGAATCCACCGAGTTTTGATAAGTGATGGTCGTTTGTGGAATGTTGGGGTTTGCATGCATGTGGAAGTGAGATGTCTAGAACTGGAGGACAATCCGAAACCGAATTTCTATCTTGTTTGTATGAAGATGAACATCGTGAGTTGGTGATTTTTTCGAGACTTCTTGTCGTCCAAGTCGAAGTCTTGAGGTCTGACAAGCCGTGCAGCCGCCGTCAAGGTTCTTCTTCTGGGCTCGCTTGGCCGAACATCCGTTGTCCGCCAGTCCAGTCGGTTTGTTTTTAAGGTTACTCCGCTTCGTCATAAGTACTGTACCGTACAGTATTCAAGAGGGGACTTCCAACTACCAAAACTTAGCGATCCAGCATTGCCGTAGCCGTTGCCACTATTTTGTCTAGTCGATCCTCCCAATTGAGTTGCAAAGTCTTCTGCCGACCTCGCCAAAACAAACACCAGATTTCTGTAGGGAAACCACCCTCGCGGAGACGTACCAGTGCCAGTGCCTCTACGAAGTACAACTCCCGCATCCCAAGAGGCCGGCCTTATCGCATGCAAAAGCCGAGTGTCGCCGTCTTGATTGTTGATTGGCGGTGTTTTCTTTATCGCCGCTGCTGCATTGCACTTGCCTGCTTCGCGTCCGCATCCTATGACCCTAGCTTCTCCGGATGCCCAAGAAGGTTCCATGCTCCATGTTCAATGCCATCAACCACCACCACCACCACCACCACCACTTAAGCCCCACCATTAGGTTACCGTGAACTCTGCGACAAAAGATACACACACACATATCTCCACGACGCTCTACACACACGATCCTACGCGAATCTGCTCCTCCATCCCGGGCTGGCTGGGCCATTTCCAATCCCATTGAACATCCCATCCTAATTCTTACAATATGTCGACTACGCCTGCAGCGGGGAGCACGCCTACACCCCAAGCACGCCCGATTGGTGAGTTGAGCTTACCTTCTACATGCCCATTGCGCAATCTTCGAGGCGTCATTTCGTCGGATATCAACCACATTCTAACTAAGCCGCCTATTGCTTTTAGATTCCGAAGCAAATGTCGTAACATCTCCCGCTCCAAACAGCAAGAAACCAGAAGAGAGTCTCGCTGTCCGCTTCGCTTCCGTCGACCAGGAGATAGAGCCTGCTCAAATCGATTCCCTCGAAGCCACGCCCTCCTCGAACGATATTCCTAGTAACGAAGATGGCGAAGAGGTCGAAACATTGAAGAAGACCGCCTCCGCACTGAACCCACCACGACTGCAAGAACGAAGAATGAGCGCCTTTGCTTTTGAGCCAGTTTCCCTGCCTGCGTCGAGGGTACGTTGATTTCCATGTATTCCGATTTTTACAAAGAGCAGGCGTGGTGGTAGGCAAGGACGATGGCGGAGTTTTCTCAGCTCGGCGTCTTAAAGGTTCATCAAACGGTAAACGAGCGGTGGATTTCCCTGGGCGTACCGAGATTTCATTATTTTAATGCCTTGATGGTATTCCCTAGGATTACCCCCACTCGTTACCGAGTGACCCCCTAAATAAGACCCACTCGGAGGCATTGACGTGTTGACATTCCCTATGTGGAAGTTCGTCTGAATAATCGCTGATACTTCTCGATCGCAGGTCGCCTCCAACGAAGATAACTCTCGCGATCCCAGTCGTCATAATACGCAATCATCCGGACGACCATCACCGCACCAAAGCCCCCGGGTACATTCAATGCACTCGCCACCGATAACACCTGCGGCAACACGATCGCGAGACGCCGTGGAGGGAACTACGGTTACGAAGGGCGCGCCTCTGCAGAAGGTAGAGGCGGATGAGGCGGCTGTGAGCATCCAGATATCGGGCGCGCAGATATCACCTCCCGGGACGTCCGGAACATCCCCTACAACTACAAATGTCGAGGAACCTCGCCCTGGCTCGTCTGGAAATTTAGTTACGAGACCAGCAAGCTCATCAACAGAGGCATCCGGTGCACCATACGGCGGTCATAGAGGAGCCTTCTCGATAGGGCCCGGCAGCTCACACGCGTCGTCAGTACCAGTCTCTCGGGAACAGAGTCCAAGTCGACAAACGTTCAGTAGACCCTTTACACCAGCCGGTGATGTGAACGACCCATATGCCGCACACAAGAGACCTCCCCAATCAAGAAACCTGGACGCCATTGACCCACGATTCAAGTTCACAGCATTGAATTCAAAACAACGGGCAAACGGGAGCTCATCAGGCTCGCTCCCTCGATCATCACGAAGTACAGCAGACGAAGGAGAGAAAGAGAAGCGAAGGTCGTTTTTTAGTGGACATTCAAATCACGATGAGAGTTCTGCGACGATTCATACCAAGGGCGGGTCGATGTCCGAACTGAAGAGATTTTTGAAAATTGGCGGATCGTCGAAAGCAAAGCGAGCGGCGTCTCCTTCTCGTTCACTAAAATCCGGATCAAAAACACCGCCCCACCACAAAGCTCCACAGCAACTGCCGTTCGACGACACACATGGATTAACATCCAAGTATGGCAAATTTGGAAAGGTGCTGGGAGCTGGTGCCGGTGGTTCTGTGCGGTTGATGAAAAGAAGTAGTGATAATACAACATTTGCGGTCAAGGAATTCAGGGCGAGACATTCGTACGAATCGGAGAAGGAATACAACAAGAAGGTTACAGCCGAGTTTTGCATAGGTTCAACGTTACACCACGGCAATATTATCGAGTCATTGGATATCGTGCAGGAGAAGGGGAAATGGTACGAGGTCATGGAATACGCCCCATTTGACCTTTTCGCAATTGTCATGACCGGAAAAATGTCAAGAGAAGAGATCAGCTGCGCGTTTCTGCAGATACTCAGCGGAGTAACATACATGCATAGTATGGGATTGGCACACCGGGATTTGAAGCTTGATAATGTTGTTGTAAACGAGCATGGGATTATGAAAATCATCGATTTTGGAAGTGCTAGTGTTTTCAAGTATCCTTTTGAAAATGGTATTGTACTGGCTTCTGGTAAGTTTGTGGATACTTCCCCACGAATTTATATTCTAACAGTCATTAGGAATCGTTGGTTCTGACCCCTATCTTGCACCGGAAGTTTACGACGAGAGGAAATATGATCCGCAACCGACTGATATTTGGTCACTGGCAATCATATTTTGTTGTATGTCGCTAAGACGTTTTCCATGGAAAATGCCACGGACGACAGACAATTCCTACAAGCTATTTGCTTCTGCTCCATCTCCCGGGACTGACATGAAAAGACTGTCGGATGTTCCAGCTCCGTCGAAATCCACGACAGATTTAGATAACCCGGACAGAGATGCTGTCCCAACTCCATCCACTGCGCCTGACGACGAAGCCACTAAACCTCCTGGAGCCGCTGTTGCGAACGGCAGTGGCGGGACACCAGATAAGAAACCGGAAATCATCAAAGGCCCATGGCGTCTTATGCGTTTACTTCCGCGAGAAAGCCGTCATATTATTTCTCGGATGTTGACGATTGATCCCAAGAAGAGAGCAACGATGGCAGAAGTTATAGCAGATCCATGGGCTTCAGGAACCATAATTTGCAGACAAGAAGAGGGAGGGGCGGTTATCAAAGCTGAAGGCCATACTCATACGCTTGAGCCCCCATCCGCCCCAGCGGTGCCGGCACCGAAAGCATGAGCTCGAGCTCTCGGACAGATTTTCCCGTTGGTATAGAAATGGAGCGAGAAGTCTAATGGTGTTTAGGAAACGGCTGGGTAAATTTTATAATGGAGATGTTTCTTGCTTTCCCACAATTTCTATAGCATGGCATGGGTAGAAAGGAGACGGAGGTGTTTACATAGAATGGGTGGGAAGTAGACTGTACAGTTGAGGAGCTTCTGATTTTGGTTCTTGAGGAGATATGATGGTGGTTTTCTCTAGCGTTTGTAGCGTGGCTTCAGTAAGCCTTTTCCGACTTTACACACTTTTAATGCAATGAGCGAAAGATGCCCTCGAAACAAGCTGTTCTTCTGTGTCGATATTAGTCTACTTGAAGGTGTGTAAGAGGAGTGGCAATTCCTATTCGTGGACAATTAATAAAAGAAAGTATACCTTTACAATGAATCTGTATCCGAGTCTACCTACCTAAGCACAGCTAAAGATATAAAAAGTGAGAGTAGAAGTTTACCTACTTGCAGCCTTGAATCTGAGGCAGCATTTTTGCCGGGTCTCGGTCCAATACAGACCCCTGTCACAAAAAAGTCTCCAGAAGCTCTTAGAAGCTCCAAAACTTCCATATGTATTGACCATCTTCTACCAACCCACCATCCTCACATACCAAAAAACCTCTCACTCGCACACATCCAAGTCCTCAAAACTACACATCCCAATCACTCATCAAGATGGTACGTTCCAATTCCTCTCCCCGCCATCTCAATGGCCTTAACACCCCTCTCCCCCTCCGTCACACAGGACAGAGACCGCCCCCTCCGCAAACCCGGAATCAGAGTCAGACAATTGCGCAAAGATAAATAGCTAACACCCACCCAGTCTACCGCTCTCAAATCCATCAAATCCCTCGCACCACTCCTCGATCGCGTCCTCGTGCAGCGCATCAAGGCCGAGACCAAGACGGCGAGTGGCATCTTCCTCCCCGAGAGTGCGGTCAAGGAGTTGAATGAGGCGAAGGTGTTGGCGGTTGGACCGGGCGGGTTGGATAAGGAGGGGAAGAGGGTGCAGTGCTCTGTTAAGCCTGGTGATAAGGTTTTGATTCCTCAGGTATGTTTTGTTTTGGTGGTTTTGCGTGGATGTATGGCGGGGTGAGTGGGTGGATGGAAGTGCTGATTTTTGGACAGTATGGTGGTTCGCCGGTTAAGGTTGGGGATGAGGAGTATGCTCTTTTTAGGGATTATGAGTATGTTATCCCCCCCCTCTCTCTCTCTCTCTCTGTTTATTCTCTTTATGTACTGAAATTGTGCTTGTCTTGGTGGGGTGGTGTGGTGCTAATGGATGTACAGGCTCCTTGCCAAGATCAATGAGTAAACTCTCCCTTGTTTTTTCACGCTGTCATGAGAGATGAGATTATTCAGTCATTCGATCAATGTACCATAAATCAACCATGTATAAAATGCCTTTAATTTGAGGGAAGTTAGATGGGAAGGGATGTATGTGTATGTTTTTGTGGGTGGAGAAGGTTGGTGGTTGAATGGATGGATGGATGGATGGATGAGTTTAATATGAGAAATTCTCCGCTCTGATTTTGGTGTTGATGCTCCAGATTCTCGAATTGTGTGAAGAGGTCGCTGGAGTGTTTTCTCTATGGTCTTGGCTGTTATTGTGTTTTTTGAGCACTTGAGCTACCGACAGGTGAAATCCGGACTGGTAAAGTCAAACGGTCTATCAGGCACAGCTGTTACTCAATCCCTTCAGACATCTGGAATCTACTCAAAGATATAGGTATGGGCAAAGACAAAAGACGGCGCTAAGTTGATTGCAGAGTAAGTCAGATCATACAGTCTATCGCTACAAAGTACCACGATGCTTAATCACAATCCCACGGCATTTGGTTCAACAGCCATTCAATTCTCTCTATATCTACTAATGTTGACGAAGAGAAGAAAGTTGTCCAGGTGTGGGCAAGAGGTCTACTCGAGGACCAAAAAATGGGGTGAAACTCGTGCCTTCTTTTGTTGCTGGAAGTGCTCGAAGCATGGATCGAGGCTGAGAGTCAGGTTTGGATTTGTTTAAAGGGAGGAGCGATGATGAGTTCATGGTGGATCTTGTTGAGTTAAGTTGACGTGAGTGGCTACATTGAGGTTCCGAGGGAAGGGGCGATGATGAGATCAAACTTGAGAGCAACTCAGGTCGATTACTTGAGTCGGGGGGGAAGAACCTCGAAGGCTGTGCTTTCCTAGGTGCTTTCGTGTTTATGTTGCTCGAGTTGAGGAAGTGGGTTGAGGCAAGGGGGAAGGAGCAATCACTTGCAATTGCCAAGTGGTCGACTTGAGGGGCTCAGGAAGATGGAAGAGGTAGACGAGTGGTAGGTAGGTAGGGACGACATTGGTCCTCTGAGGGCTCTACCTACTATAATAACTCTCCGAGTCTCTCGAAGTCGACGTACACCAAAACTTTGAAATAGCCTGAGGGGTTGCCCACTCGCTAAATTCGTGTGTCCACTTGAGGTGCATCTTACGTTATAGATCTTCTGCCCTCCAATCCCCAAACGACCATGTACTGCATATAGCATTCACCCCCTTCGCACTCATGACCTCAAGTAACACACATCTCCCCAAGTCGTCCGGTACATGCCTGCGTAGCTTAATGGAAACATTGGTGAGAGCCTTACTGGGACTAGTCAAACCGCAAAAAACTCAGTACGTCTGGCTTATTGTCCTAGGCCGCCTTCTTTGAGGGTGAGGATCTTTTTTTTGATTTTTTGATTTTTTGAATTTTTGGGGGGGGGGTGTTGGGTTTGCTGGGACTTTGTTTTTTTTGGAGGGGGGTGTACACGGGGATGGGGAGCGAGGGCGAGATGAGAGAGGGAGGTAGGTAGAGGTACTTATGAGGTCGGGTGGGAGTAAATATATAATATTCACGTGATGTTAATTTAATGACCCTTGGTTAGTTAGTATTCCGATTCTACTATGGTGTTATTTTATAGTAACCTGCTACAAGAAAGCTGTCTCGAGTGTACCGAGTACTTCCACGAAAGAGCATCTCGGTCTAAGCGAACCACTATAAGAAAACTTTGAGAACTAGGATAGTATAGTATTGCCATTTCACTCCTGTTCATCAAGAGAAAACCCAAAATTTCTAGTCCCATGAACAAGACTTTCAAGTAAGAAGGCGAAATGGGGTTGTGTCGTAAGTTGTCTGCTTCTCGTGTCTGTTGTGTGACATCTGTAGGTATGTAGGTAATTTACTGCCCTGCGGCTCTCCGCACAACTCCTGACAGCATCCTCGTATTGAAAGGTTTGCGATGGGAAGAGGATCTTGTGTTTCTTAGGCGCTGCTTTGATGTTAGACTTGTTTGGCGTGTCACTATGTGAAGTGGTGAGGAATTGTAGGGCCAAACCGTTATAAGACGGGAGAAAGTTACACGATAAATAGAGGAGATGGTGGTAGTGAAAATCTAGGAGTTAAGCTAAGGGTAATGTGAAGAGGGAGCAATTTACTTCCTTGCTTGCCTTTGAAGACCGGCTTTCATTTAAGAGCTCTAGCGGCAGCGAGCAAAAGAGGAAAGGGATAGTTATAACTTGTCCTATTGTGACGGTTATGGTCACGAGGGCTGGATGTCACATGCTCGCTTAGCGAGGCGCTAGCGCGCACGACCTGTATTTAGTTCCCAGCTCTCTTGAGCTCTCCTTCTTTCCTCGTCTTTTGTCCTAAGAATAGAGTGTTAATTGTTCTGAGTTCTACCTGAAGCACGTCTGTCACACCTATTGTAGGATTTAAGTGCGGATGATTTGTTGGAGTATTTTATTTATCTCAGCTCCCAGACCCTCTTTATAAAGGCTTTTGGTAGTATGCTCCTTATACACCCTACCCCCTGCTCCTTCCCCGAAGGCTACTACCTCTAGCTTTTATTTAAGGGTCTAAGGGAAAATAGTAATCTTTTTAGCTATAGGCTCTAAACTAACTTTTCTATATAATATCTTGTATTAAGGTACGTAACTACTACTATTATTATAACCTTCTAGTACGCCTAGGCTAATACTTTTAATATTAAATTTCTTATCTATATTATTTTTATAATCTCCTTTTAATTACCTATTCTAAACTATTATATTTAAGCTAAAAATAGCGATTTTACTTTCTTTAAATAGAATTTATACTATAGCTATTTTATAATAACTCTATAATAATAACTTATATCTAAATATTAAAATTCCTTTATAAATTTAATTAAGACACTTATCTTATTAAATCTATTAAGTATATTTAAAGTATTTTAAGTATTATATAAATAAAAGCTAACTCTAGTTTTAACTTTTAAATCCCTTAAATAAATATTCCTAAAGACTTAACTATATTATAAAAATTTCTTATAATATACCTAATAATATTCTAGGATACTGTGACGGTTCTCACCACCACCACGCTACAGACCAGCCCTGGCTGGAACCCGGCGGCCACCATGCGTCAAACGAGCCCCTGGCTGAGACTCGGCTAAGGCATGGCCCTTGGCGCCACCTCCTGTATTTATGAGCCTCTGGCTCTTTAGCTTCTGTCCTTCCTTCTCTTCTCTCCTTAGCTTAGAATCTTCGAATAGACAGTTCTACGATTCCATAACCTACACCTTGGACGCTCCTTGAGCAACATATCGTACGTGTCGTCACAGATACTCTATTACTATTATAAAAGTATTGGCTAACGATTTTTATTAGGAAAGAGACTATACTTATTAAGTAACTTAATTTTCGAGTATTATATAAGATACTATAACCTAAAAAAGATAGCTATAAACGTAAAGTATAAGTATAAAAGAAAAGTAATATTAGGTAGAAGAGTAAAAATAAAGTAAGATTATAATAGTAGCTTATAAACTAGAGTAATATACCTAATAAGAACTATAAGCTATAAAAGGTAGAGCTAGTAGAACTATATAACTCGAATAATTTAAATAAGCGTAATAAAATAGTTATAGATAAGGAAGCTATAAACAATCCTTTAGTTTAAATAAAAATAAAAATTCTTTATTTATCTTCTCTTTAGGATCCTTTATAGTTAGTATAGTAAATATTAATAATGATACTACCCTATAATAAAGTACTATGTAAATAATAGTAGAAACTTTAAGTAATATATATATATATATATAGAGAAGATATTAATAGAATTAGTAATAATAAAGAGTCGCTTAACCTTCGTTCTATTAAGGTCTATAACTATTATACTATTATAGACTAGTAACGTTATCTCGCGGCTACTATGAGCTAAATACTAGATAAGTAGCCTATAGTAAATAATACTATACTTTCTTTAATTTAATAGCTTTAGCTAAAAGATTTAGCTACTATTATTAATAAGGCTAGAAGACTCTATAATATACCGTAGTAGATATATATTCTCTAGAGTTATTTAACTATCCTTCTTAACTATAGTAAGTTAGTTAAAGATTAAATTCTAAAAAGCGAATAGCTTAGATATATATGTTATTTAATCTTTAAAAAAGGGGATACTTTTGTCACGAATCACGTGTTCACGTGATACTTGTCATAATAAGAGGCGCAACCCTCGACAGGCACATTCAGATTTCTTATAGCAAATGGGGATCGCTTAGGGTAGCTAGGCGATCCAAGGATTTCTTCCTTACAGAAGATCATGTGACTAGGGAGTATGAGGAAGTATAAGGGAGGCTTATACTACTCTATACTCGGACCATACGCGGGGTATGAAGGTTCTATATAAGACTGGCACGTCTGCCATTAGATAGGAGCTTCGTGCTCAACTTAGTTATCCAAGGATTTCTTCCTTACAGAAGATCATGTGACTAGGGAGTATGAGGAAGTATAAGGGAGGCTTATACTACTCTATACTCGGACCATACGCGGGGTATGAAGGTTCTATATAAGACTGGCACGTCTGCCATTAGATAGGAGCTTCGTGCTCAACTTAGTTATCAATTTAGTTATCAATCTTTTCATATTTGTTTGACATCTTTGATACAAGTAACGAGTTCACTTCCAAGTGAACAACCCGATAGTCTTCTTCTTATCATAGCATACCAACCAGCGAACACCCAGCCAAGTTTAGTTAGCCAGTTTGAGTATTCGTTACAACTTTACTTGTTATAAGAACTAGATTTAGAAAGTCTTATATATTCTAGTATTATTTTATTCTTACTCTTAAAATTACTATCTAGATTATCTCTTTAATAAAACTTAGTAAGGAATAACTCTAAGATATTAAAGTATTAGGATATATATAAGCGGTTTTAATTAGTAAAGATACTATATTATACTAATAGAGGAAGATCTATTATAGTATTTATAATAGTAGATATAAGTTATTTATTTATTAATTATAAGTTAAGTTATATTAATTTATTATTAAGTAATTACGTTGCGAGCTCGCCTCGCCAGCTACGCTAGCTTATACGAACTCGCCGGCTCTTACTTCAGCATCTTAGTTAAGGTTTTATAATATAATAATAATAAGTTATTGAATTAAAGGTTAAATACTAAGGAAAAAGACGTGAAGGTAGTCAATCACGTAGTAAGTGTCACGAATCACGTGTTTACGTGACGAATGAAGACCAGGTGGCGCCCTGACAGGTCGAGCACTATCCGAGTAGTTATAGCAAATAGGGATGCTTAGACTAGCTAAGCGATCCAAGGATTTCCTTTGGTTACAGTCACGTGATATATGTCGCTAGACGGGGCGACTGGTCTACCAGACTAGCAGCGACCGAGCGACGAGTCTAGCAAGCTAGCACAAGAGAACGAAGGTTCTATATAAGACTGGCACGTCTGCCATTAGATAGGAGCTTCGTGCTCAACTTAGTTATCAATCTTATCATATTAGTTTGACATCTTTGATACAAGTAACGAGTTCACTTCCAAGTGAACAACCCGATAGTCTTCTTCTTATCATAGCATACCAACCAGCGAAAACCCAGCCAAGTTTAGTTGGCCAGTTTGAGTATTCGTTACAGTAAGGCTCGAAGTAACACACCCCTAGTACCCTACTAAAATTCACGGTCGGTCGTACTTATATATACGTCTATACCCTATTAGCTATAGATAGTATAATAGTATCGAGAGAATACTAGAATAAAGCCTAAATACTTGGGATATTTATATCTAACCTATATATATTTTACTTACGATTCTAGCTCGATATAAGCGCGAGAGTAGTAGTAGTAGATTTAGTACGATTCTCGGTATGGCTAGGGCGTAGCTATACGCCTTACATAGAGCTCGGATACTCTTAGCTTATGTCCTACGTTATACTCTCGGTATACTAGCCTTTAGCCTATACTTTGCTAGCTATAGATACTATAATAGTATTGCGAGAATACTAGAATATAGCTTAGAATGCTTAGATTATTTATAATCGAGGTATATATATTTTATATATAATTCTAGCTAGATATAGGCGTAAGAGTAGTTCCCTTAGTTTTGGTGTTCCTACATAGGTGCCTAGGTGCCTATAAGGTACTTAAGTCGTACTTTAAAGGTAGTAATCAGAGAGCGATAACTTCTAAATTATATAACTCCCGCTATAATAATCGTATGTATATTCTAAAAAAGCAGAATCATAGAGAATTAACTTAGATTATATATATATAATCTATACAAGTTTTAGAACTGTTACTAGCTCGATGCGGCCTTATAAGTTAGATTATAAGTTTGGTGTTCCTATATACACGACTTATATAGGTATATAAAGGGTCCTCGACTAATTAGATGTTTTCCTTTTATATAATGTTACGGAGTTGGAGGAACTAGGGGTTGATCACGTGTAGCGCAGCATGTAGTATGTGTCACGTGCGCGCTGCTGGCATCCTGTATTTAAGCTCTCGTTCCTCTGGAACTCTCTTCCTTCCTCACTTTGTTGTTCGCTCAATACAGCAGTTTCCGTTTGACTCCGTATTCATCACAGCAAGCAGTGGTTCACTCCACACGGTTACATATAAAGCGACTAAAATATACACGTTTTTTCTCGCTTAGAAGTACTAAATCCTATCTCTCTAGAAACTAATTTGTTTACATTTCTAGTCTATAGGAACGTTCCTTGTCCTTATTATATTATCTATTATATCTTTTCTTTTATTTTATCTCTTTATTAGCCTTTTAAAAAGTTCTCTAAGTATATTAGTAGTACTTTAGAATATATACTATTATTCTAATTAATTAGATTAAATAAACGCCTCTTAATCTATTTAATCACCGAAAGTTCCTAATCTAATTCAAATCTATTTAATCATAATTTAGTTGATTACTAATTGAATAATAGAGCAATTTGTTCTCACGTTAACTAGCTAGAACCTCACACACCTCCTAAAAAACACAAAGGAGAAGCGTAGGCTACGTAGCAAAATATCCAGCTCCCAAATCCCAGTAATACTATAAGACAAGAGACCGCAGCCAACATTAATATATCCATGCTAGTCTTTTGTTCCTACCTACCTACCAATTATCTTCATAAGAGCACTCTCATACCACTTAGTACATCTGTAACCCCAGATTCAATAGCCTGTAATCTAGAAAACAGTCCTACTTGATTAATACCGTAGAAAGCATCAAAAGTGAAAAGACGTGCAAGGAACGTATACCAAAGACGCTATTCCAAAGAAGCTATTCCAAAGTATCCCACTCCACGCTTCACACCAGTAAACAGCTCTAACAAAAAAAGAAGAATATCACATCACAACTCCAAAAACCCAAGGCACAGAAATAATCTTAGCAATTCAGTGATTCTTAGACTTACTATGCTACAAAAAAAAAGAGAAACGAAAAAACCCCCGCAGCGCAATCCATAAAGTCTACCACCAAAAGGCAACAACAAAGGAGACTGGGTATAAAAGGGCGACAGCAAAATCTCCATCCCAAAGAAAAATAGCAACAACAACAAACAGGACTATGCTTTCCCTTCCGTATTCATGCTCATGCTCATCTCTGGCAATAATCCATACAATCCCTTCGCTCGCGGCGCTTATCCGTTCAAATGCTCCCTAAGATCTATCTACTATCACAATCAACGGAAAAGAAAAGTGTCTCGTACACACAAGAAACACCATGCATCTATGCAGCCTCCGCCATCACATGCTCACCCTCATCCAACAGCTCCGTGATTCGGTCCAGGTTCTGGATCATGCTTCGACCCTGGCCAACAAGTAACAGCTTCTCAGCATTGGCAGGTAGTCCGAGGTAAGTTGGTGGTTCTCTCTCGGGGAGCTTTTGGATCCATTGCGTGAACTCCTGGATCGAGGTTCCACTGGGGACAATCAAGCTACCGTCATTGCTGCCATCTCCAAGATTACCAGCAGCGCCCTCGACAAGTTTATGTCCGATTTCGTAGGCTGCAGGAGTGAGGAAGGAGTGGACCAATTGTGTAAGACGAGCGAAATCCCCCTCGTCGTCAATTTTACCTCCATATGTCTCCACAATAAGGGTGCGAATCATCTCCCATGGAAGATTTTGTGGTGCAACATTTGTACGACCTTTAGCGACTGTCTCAACCCAGGTATCGATGATGAAAGCAGAACATTCGTACTATTTCACATTAGCATCTTGTCTAAATTTGAGTTGACCTGATTTTCACTTACATCACTGTCATTGAATTCCCAGAAGCCTTTCCATCCCAGAGTTGGCGCATATCTCAATCTCTCTTGGATCACGGCATGCAAAAACGACAGAAGCAAGTAAAGTCTTGATAGCTCAACTGGTGACTTGGCGCCTCTTGTAGAAAGAGATGCCATGGAGTCCTTCATATTGGCTCTGACTCCAGCCGGTTGCTCATACATCAACACACGAGAAGCCCGCAACAAGTTTACAGGGATCTTAGGACTCGACTCCATTGAAAGGAACAGTCTGAAGTCAGCATGAGGCTTGAGTGAATCCATGCGCTTCTCGAGACTTTGTAGCCAGGTTGGAGCTAAGTGAACGTTCTTGACCAGGACCCAAGATCCAGTAGCCGCCGCATTACTGATGGCTTTATCCGCGGTTGCCGGACCTTCATTAGATCCCATGGCAATATTTGTACATGTTGCACGGGAACGCTGCACCAAGTTCTCAACCTTATAACTCGCATCAAATCCTGGACTCGAGCATAATGCAATTGGACTGCTGGAGGATACTTGATGAACAATCTGTTTCAGATCTTCCGTCGATTCCAGGAGGCCTGAACCAAATACGATTGTAACGAAACGTTCTGCAGTTGGTACAAAACGATCCAGTCTGAAAAGTTTGACGAGAAGTAGCGACATAAGTTCCTGATCGCGCTTGTCTGCGGTTGAGTCCCATATTTGTGGTACGTAGTTCTCTCCTGCTTCCTCGAACAGGAATCGATCCCATGCTTCATTGGAGACAGCTTCAAGTTTTCCTCGAAGTGCTGGGAGCTTTGAAGCTCTGGTAATTACTTCCTCTTTCTTGTCGGATTCGGTTGACACATCAGTACCGGTGACACTTTCATCCAATATGACACCAATCAGGCTCTTGTCCATCTTGAATGGAGCTGCTTGTGCAAGAAGCATTGCCAGAGTAATCTTGTCCTTCTGAAGCAGACTGAGAGACGTACGTTGAAACGTTGTAACGAATAGCTCTTCAACAATAATATCTCTTCGGATACTGTGGTTCACCGTTTCGGCGGCCAATCGCTTGCTATTGTGTAGTACCGAATGGAAAATATCAAGAAAGTACTGCAGAGAGAATTGATAGAAGTGATTGAGGTAGTGTAGCTGCTCTAAAACTGCGAAAACTGCACTGCAAGATTTGGCGATGACGTCGTATTGGAGAGTCGTCTCCTCCACCTCCTTCATTACACCTTCAGTGCCGGTCATCTTGGCTGAAATTTCCGCTGCCTCTTTCTTCAGCGTTTCTAGAGTTTCGATTACATTATCATCGTCGAGAATGTTGCCGCGGGATTCATTGAGTGCTTGCAATAATCGCTTCTCCAGTTGCCTAAGATGCACCTTGAATTCGCCTTGCAATTTGATGAGATTAGATCTGCGCTCATCGACGTCTGGTCGCTCCGATTTAAGGACCTCGTTCAAGGATTGGGTCTGGAGACTGCTCTGGGTAACAGTAAAGTTGACAAACGTAGTTCTACTGCAAATATCGGGAGGGAAAGTTGCAGAAGGATCCCTAGTGGAAAGGTAGATTTTGAAGGCGGGCGAGAAATCAATTTCCTGTTTGCCGAGCTGAATGAGAACACGACCCCCGGTCTTTTGGTACTCTTTATTGAGAACATGGTTGAGGATTGGGTCCAGATATTCAGCATCTTGGATGAGAATTGGGTTACCAAATCGGAGCGAACTTTCCAGTTGTTTGGTAAAAGAGTCGTCCAAAAAGCTGGTAACAGTCAGACGGCGTTCTTTGCTTTCCTTCTGTAGGAACTCTGTGACACGGCCAGAGGGGTCGATGATCAAAGGATAACGGTTGAATCGTTTAAGGACAATAGCGTTTTCGGTACATAGATCATCCACTGGCAAGGAGTTCTCTTGCCACTTCAGTCGTTCATCTGCGGTCGACAGGTACTCTGTGACAGGATTGAGCTGTTTGTAGTTGATTCCCGACATATGAAGCTGGTGTATCCAGTCTTCCATCATGTTTTTTCTAAATTGTTGATCGTAAAGTCCACTGTAGGCAAGGAATGCTGCCGCGACAAGAACATCACCGACAAGGGTGCCGATTTGTGTTTCGAAAGATTTGCTTCCCTCTTCCCAGCGGACTCGTTCGGACGAAAGACTATCAAGCAGGCGCACACTTCGATCAACCTTGAATTTGACTCGCTCCATTTCGGACTTGATAGCTTGTGTTTCACTGATGAGAGCAGCATACTCAACTTTATACGTGGCGATACTTTGCTCTAGCTCAATGATCGTGTTTTCAATGGCTTGGGCTTGTGCCTTGGTCTCGAGTGCTTGCTCTTCGAGCTCGATCACTTCATTTCTTAAGGGACCGACACGATCGAGAATCTCAGAGTAATTGACTTGAGCAGTCACCCATTGTACGAGCGGACCGCAAGCTTTACTTGCGCGATTGACTCTTTCGTAAGTGAAATCTTCCTTGGAGAGGTAATTCTTGCGCATCCCCTCACGAAGAGCTTTGGTCATTTGTCTTTCGTTATCGTAGTTCACGATACTGGCGATGAAATCGTCTTTGCGAACAACTGCTTGAACCAATTTCCAATCTTTTCCAACCTTGTGGCCAAGCAGGGTACATACAGACTCTAGAGCGTCTCGGACACCCTGAGGAGGGTTACCCATAGATCGAACTTCAGTCAAATGTTGTCGTTTGATGTTGCTGACACTCTTCTGAGCCTCTTCGACAGCAGGCTCCGCGTTGGCCAGGTCGTGCATGACGATTTCTTTCCGTTCTGCAACGGCAGTCTCCTGCTTTTCTAAAGCAACCTGAACCTCCAAAGATGTCGCCTTTCGGGACTCGGCCTCTCTCTGATCTGCAACCATGCGTTGAAGTTTCTCGTTTGCCTCCGCGTCCTTTCGCTCAAGTTGACCTTTCTTTTCAGCCAGACTGACACGAAGATCTCTGACTTTATCTACAGTATCTCTCAGCTTTTCGAGTCCAACATTCAGATGACGCTGCTGCTCCTCAAGGTCTTCACGTTTCTCGTTGTATAACTTGACATATTGCGCAACAAAATCTAGGAAATGTCTTGGAGTCAGGAAAGTAACACGTCCTTGTTGCTTGAGAAGCTTGGCATTGAATCGATGGAGCGAGTAATGTATGTAAACCATGGAGTTGATGACAGCCTCGCGATGAGATGCGGGTAGATTGAGGTCTCGGTAAGCCACGGGTATGCTGTCTGGGGCTGTGAAGTTGGGTCTGTCGAGATCAACAGACTGCGTCAATTCCGTACCCACTTGGAAAAGAGCTTGATCAGACCAGTCTCCAAACCAGTTCAGGACACAACGATTGAACAAAGCGGGACTAGTTGCAGCTTTTGATGACAAGCCACCCTCGGGCGGGTTCATGGTGAACACGACGTGGAGATTCTTGACAATTTGTGACGTAAACCATTTGTATAGCTCTTCTTGAGAGTCAAGAAGCAAACCCTGTTTTTGAGCACCTTCCTTACAGCCCGTCATCAAGGAGGCGAGTTCGTCGCCTTCGAAAAGACCGGGGACTTCGGCGTTTGCAAGCAGTGTATTCATTCTCTCGAGGAAACCAGAGTCGAGAACATTGGCTTCGTCCATAATGAAGCATATCTTTTCTCCTTTGCAACCCGCGCGACGTAGAACATCTCTGAGATCATCATCAAAATCCTCTGCCGAATACTTTCCATGGACTTTGATTTGGAAGACCTTCAATCCGTTCATCCAGGCAACGAAGCGGGAAAGAGTGGTCTTTCCACTACCGCTGACTCCTATCAGAATTAAATGACCCTGTGGTTGTCTGAAGACTCGATCGATACGAAGTACGTGTTCAAGGACGTCGTTGAACAAAATCAGTGGAACATCGACTTCTTCTTCGCAGAAGGTCTTTAGGCGAGCTTTCACAAAGTCACGAAGTTGTTCTCGGTCCACAGGAACATAATTCTTTGACAGCCAATTCGAAAAAAGGATTGGACCAGCGAGCGCCTTGTCTTCCTCAATCGTAGGGAAGAATTCCAGAGCAATTCGATGAACAGCTTCGTCAGTCCACTGGCGCTCCTCCTCTGCTACAAGACGATCTTGGAACAATCTAAGAGCCTCGTGTGCCCAAATGCGTATCAGTCCTTCCACAGTCAGAGTCTCGAGTGGCCGGATGGCTTCGTATATACCCCGTACCCAGCGAGTAAGTTCACGAGGACTGTAGACATAATGGGGTTGGATCTTGGGCGTGAAGCGTTGTTGAGATTCAAGATAGAATTTGACCATTGCTTTCGTAAGCGACTCGGAGTAACCTCGTAATGACGGGATGATCTTGAGAACAGCCGTGTTGAATGTACCATAAATCTGTTGGAGGGAAAGTTCTCCGGGATAGTCAACCATAATGAGCGGGGCGTGACGGAGGAATCTTGCACCCATAGGAGTTCGGCCTGCATCGGTTGGAGGGTTGCAAGCTCCAACGAACTGAATACGGTCAAGAGTCACCCAGGTTTTATCTGATGTTCTCCAAAATCCATTCTGCTCAACGAGTTGGCGCAAGAAAGAGATTGCTCGCTGTGTTCCATACTTGTCAGGTGCCGGCAAATTGATCTCATCACAGAAGAGTACAAGCCAGCGTCCAATTTGGGTTGGCGACAGCATGACACCGTTGAGTGTCTTTTTGTACTCGCAATATTGCTCGAATGTTTTAATTAGGAGATCAGGAGTTGTCGCACTGGAGAAATTGAGTCCAACGACCTCCATATTTGGCAGCTTGCGAAGAGCGCTGAACAACGTCATGGTCTTACCAGAACCTGGAGGACCACATAGCAAAAGAGGTTTGTGTTCAGCGAGCCAAGAGTAGAGAACGTCTTCGTGGCGGACAGTATCCAGAGTGGGAATGACGACGTCGGTTTGCGTGATCGAATGTGTGTTGACTTCGATTGTGGGGACCTGATTCTGCCACGATATCCATTCTCCCTTTGGTAGAGTTACATCGAAATCGATCAAAGCGGAATTATCACCCATAATTGGAGATCCAAAGGTAGCTAAACCAGCAAGACAATCTCCGAAAGCTTTTCGATCGCCGAGTGGGCAATCACCTGTGAGGGACCAGACCAAGGCTAGCAGCAGCTTTTTGGCAATGAAGGATTCCACTTGTTCAGAGTCAAGAGGAAAGTCAACGTGCTGAGCATTGTACTCGATCACATCGCGGACACTCTTATTCAGGAGTGAGAACAGTGTGCTTAACACTCTTGCAACGGTAAACTCCATGATATGGTTGAATGCCTCGGCTCGTTCCAGCGCATTGGTGATGAAATCCTCAGAAATAAGGAACTCCTGGAGAAGGTCCGCCACTTGAGATTGGAGAGCAAGAGCCTTGGCTGCACTCTGTCCTGTGGAAACTGTATCTTCGTCTAGGTCCTCGAATGCCACAGTACGCAAAGAATCCAGGTAGTTTGCCACCATCATGTTGGAGGTCACGGTATCTTCACTGAACCAGACCATACCACATCGACTGACAGTAGCAAGAGTCGCATATTTAAGAGTCTCTACTTCGAACATAATTCTAACGTTCGAAGGTAGATTAAGACGCTCACCATTAGGCAAGGTGAGCAATTTGTTGTCATCCAGTACACTGTTTAAATTTTCGACCCACTCGGGATCAACATCACCATCAAACACAATCCAGTGTCTTTTTGACTCCTCACCACGCAAGTTGTCCACAATCTTACGTAAGATGCTCGTGAAAAGACCATCGGTCCACTCCCGAGTTGTAGAGTCCAGGTTTCCATATAAAGCCTCCTTGGACATGACTTTTGAATCAATGATATGGCATACACCTTCCACGTTTTCAACTTGCTGCAATGCCTGGAGCAGCAGTTTCCAGGCTACCGATTTGCCAGAGCCCGAGTTGCCGACCATCATGACACCGTGGTGGATGCCCTGGATTTGATAAAGTTGAAGGATTTTTGTCAACCAAGTTTCATTGACTACGAGATGTCTTTCTTTGGCGATGCTGTGGATTGCCTCCTTCAATTTTTCGAGACTGGCAGGAACGTACTGAACTCCAGGGAACGACTCCTCTTCGATGGTTCTCATGATAACCACATCACTCTTGATAAGCTTGGGCGCAATTGTCTCCCGAATACTCTGAACAATAATTTGTGGTTCAACTTCCTCTTCTGGTCCAAGATCCCCTCCAGTTTGTGTAATGCGGGCACGCTTCAGGCCACCGGAGCTGACTAGTACACTCTTCAGGGCACGAAGTCCAAAATCATAATGGGCTTGCTTTGATAACCCAGCAGCGCAACGATCGAAGAACGGTACGGTTTGTTTGGAGAGAGCTTTCGCTTGGTTGAAACCTTGAGAGTATAACATGACCTCAGCAATGAGCTCTTTGTCGGGCTTGGACATAGCTACGCTTCGGAACAACTTTTTCAGATTGTCTGGCAAGTTTGAACGACCAGCGTATCCAGGATTCATAGTGATGAAGAGGCCAGTGTTAGCATTGACGTGTAATTGGCGGCCAACCAGCTCGATTTGAGACTTCTCGTCTTCTGCGCCTTGTTTCAATCCGAGTTGAATATTTTGGACCTGTTGGGAAACAGCGGAGAGGATTCGCTCTTCCAATCGATTGAACTCATCGAAACAACCCCATGCTCCGACTTGGCAGATACCCAAGAAGATTCTGCCCATTGCTTGGAAATCAAAAGTGTCATCGCAACAGAAAACAAGAGTGAATCGACCCAGTTGCACACCAAGTGCTTTGACGGATTCGGTCTTACCTGTTCCTGCGGGACCATATGGAGACCCTCCCAATCGTTGACATAAAGCTTGAGTTAGGGTCAAGAAGCAACGGTCAGTCAATGGTGTTCGAACCAGGCGTTCGGCAACTCCCAAGTATTCGAAGCCATAGTTCAATTTTGCATTTGCCATTTTGATATGAAGACGCTGTAGAAACTCACCCTCTGGTGTATAGACGTAGCGCATTTGCAACTGCCAGAGGTAGTGGTTGGGTGTGGATGCATTGAGCTTGACAAGCTTTTCAATGGTGTCACGTTGGTGGACACATTCGGTGATCAGATGTTCGCATCTCTTTCTCTGAATGGTATCGAGATCTCCAAGAACGGTTGAAGCAAGAAGTCGAAGAACTCTCACTTCCTGATCAAACAATTTTCCGAGTGTTGAACCTCCAGCCTCGAGGGCCTTCTCGACTGAAGATGTCCACACCGCCTGGGTAGCGAGCACGACTATTTGACTAGGGAATGCTGAGATGTACTGGTTCAATGTTGCTGGGTCAATTTCACCAGCTCCAAAGATAGGCTCATATTGCTCGATGGCTTCTGCCAAAAGTTCGGCCAATGTTGTCTTCATACTGCTTTCCAACAAAGCCAGCCAATCGTTGATCTTGGGCGTCTTGATGAGTGAGATCTCTTTCTTTAATCTAACCTCTTCTCCCTCCTTCGAGGTAAATCCAGAAATGATTTGTTCCTCATCCATGATGAGACCAGATAGCCCAGCGAACATCTTCTTGAAATGCTTGGCAATACGTAGAGTATCGTTACTATTCCCGATAATTTCGAGCAAGTCTTCGTCACCGACAAAGTAGAATCTAGGAAACGACACACGTTCTCGTTCCAAGTACTCTCCCAAGGCCTTTTGGATTTTATTCAACAGATCTGCAAGACGTTCTAGTGATTTTTGGGCGCCTGAAATGTTGAGAACAGCCAGGACGAAAGGCTCCTTATAAACTTTCTTCATTACGGCAAAAAACTCCGAGTTGATGTTCTGAAATCTTGACGATTCAATTGGCAAGAGGTGCTTGATATCTGCATTACCGGTGAAAACACCTTCTAGATAGACCCACTGACGTTGAACATCAATCCATACATCAAAGAGTACATGTACACGATTGAGCTTATCTTCCCAAGACGAAGCTTCTTCTTCAAACTCTTTGTAGTAAGGTGAGTGTCGCATAGCCTGGAGAGAATTTAAGTTCTCGCTACATTTGGCAAAAAGATCGTCCCAGCCTCTGATCAATCGGCACTTGTTCTGGTAACCGACCAGATCGAGAGAGTAACTTGTCCAAATTTCACGGACTTGCTTGAGAAATTCTTCGAGGGCCATTTCTCCTTGAGCCTGGGCGATTATATCTCGGATCACTACTTCACTGGCAACAAGGTTCAAATCCCAAACTTCCCCCAAGGTCATAGATATTGGTGAGTATCGTTTGGTTGGTCGCAGAGCCTTGAAAATCTTGTTCCAATGTCGATCACGAACTGCTTCTGATTTTAGATCTGAAAGAATGGGGTTGACCTTGAGAAATTGGCGGAGAACGTTCTGAATGTGCTCAAAGGCAGCATATTGTCGCATACGACTAGGCATTTCTTTCGTCATCTTTATGAGACTGTCAATAGAGGATCGAAGCTTGCGAGGTTGCACGCTATTCCAAAGAGTCTCTCGGAGATCGTTCAAACTCTTCCAAATGGTAGAAAGGGCAGACCAGACAGACTTGAAGTCTTGAACCTCTTCAAGAATTGCGGCGAGGGCTGTATCGGGGCTGGCAGGAAGATCAAGGGCCTCCTTCGCTTTTGAAACCATCTCAGATTCATCATGAAGTTTACTAATGCGGTCTTCGAAGGAGGTCAAGGTAGCAGAGGCAACATCAGGGGCGATGGTTCCAGATACAGGCTTTTCTTCGTTCCACTGAGCTGTGATCTCTGCAATCTTTTCACCTACAACCTTGTCTTCAGCGGTAATTTTAGCTCGTAGGGCATCTGTTTGGTCTTGCACGATCTTTGCTTTGCGAGCCAATATTTCGTTGAGCGCAGTCCATTCAGAATCAACCTGCTCTACTCCTAGCCAATCCGCTGCGAACTGATAACGTTGACGAACCAGTGTTGTTTGTCCTTGTCGGAAAATCTCAACCTCCGGGCCCCATGCCTTCACTTTGCGTTTGCATGTTTGAACGATCGTGATGAACTGAACAGCCTGGGCAGTGGATGATGCCTCTAACGATTGGATCTCGAGATCCTTTCGTGCTTTCTCAATTTCCGCGTAAACCTCTCGGATGCGGTTTCCTAAACGACCACCAAATTTGGTCAAGATCTCATGCTGCCATTGATCGTACTTCGAATTGACTTTGGATTGAACTTGTTCATAATCGATGGTGAGGTGGCCAAAGGAGCGACTAACTTCGGTGGTGTCGAAAGTGGATCGTGCCTTTCTGATGTCTTGTAAAAGTTGCAGCCATTTGGAGAGCTGTTCCCCCAAAATCTCATACACCTGTTCCGACTGCAAATCCCACAGCGACTGAAATTGCAACCATCTGTCAATGTAACTACTGATTTCCCGTAGCTTTGTTTCAATGGCAACGTAAACCAAAGACAAATCGTCTGCGCAAGATGCTGGTAGATCTGTGAAGCGAGCTTCCGTCTCGTTCCGTGCCACTAGAGACATCTCATATCTCGATGCTTTGACTTTTCGCAGGTTACACACTACTCCTAGCCACTCGTGTAGTTGCGAGAACCAACTGGCCCTAGCATATTCCAAAGGAGGGTCTAGATATATAACCTGGTTCCTCATAGATACTTCATGTATCAGGCGCTTCATAGTGGGATCATTATCATTAACAACTCCATCAATGGTGCTCATACGTTTCTTTCGGCTATCGTCGTTGACGCCCTCGGAACGATTATCCTGAAAGATCTCAACCCAATCTGCGATGGCTTTTTGCAACCGCACCAGGAGAATGGCCTTGATACGGTCATTCATCTCCCTCACCCAATAAGCGAGATTGACGTAATTCTCAAGATTCAGTTGGTCAACAGACATTTGTATCGTTTCCAGCCGCTCTTCCAGGGAGACTGCGTCGTAAGGACAGGTCACTAGTTCAGCCAAGGCTTTTTGAACCGTGATGTTGATAGATGCGAGAGCAGTGGTTTTGGACTGCAAGAGAGAAACCGATGCGGCAAATTCACGAATAAACTGAATATGCTTACTATCGCCACCACGAACTCCTGGCATGTTATCCATGATACCATTCGACACGTAAGCTGGTTGGATAATATCGTAACCATTGACAAAAGATTCCCATTTTAATGGAATACCTCTGGAGATCAAAGCCTGCACTTCGTTCTGATAGCCACCGAGAAGTATTGATACATCAGACATCTGAGATATCTGCCGGCTTGTTTGGGAGTAAGTCCTAACACTTTCCATCAAACTCACAGCGAAAGGGTAAACTCTCTTTGCATCTTTCGATACATTGTTGATAGCGTGTGGCACGGCATAGTTGAGCCACAATAAATTTCGAGTCTCCTTGAAAAGTGCTATGACCTGGGCATCAAAGTTCACAGCCAGCTCTAGAGCATTGTTTGCTGCACGTATTTTATTGATATTGAAGAGCCGCCCAGCAATCGATATCTGCCTTCTCTGCACATCATGAAGCCATGCCTCAAAAATTGGTCTGGTGTCTAATTTTTTACGGAAGAGGTTGCTTTCACTCTGGAGTTTTTGGCCCTCGGAATGAAGTGCCCAATCGTGTCCTAACACATCTGCAACCTTTTTCATGTATGCGTCAAGTTGGCGTTCAATCTGGCGTGCCCAAATGATGGCTCCTGAAACAGGGGGCAGATCTCTGAGTTGCGCCATAGCATGGGCTTCGGAGTGACCATATTGTTGCTTGAAGCGTTCATGAAGGGCAGAAATATCATTCTTGACATTTTCAATGAGAGTGGTCTGGTACTCCGTGATTGCACTGCGAATCTTTGGTCGAACGAATAATGCGTTGAATTTCGAAAAGACCCTAAACATTTCGTTGGCATTCTTCGCTGTTGCTAGGCGATCACGGAGTCTGGCAATGATGGAGTTTTCAACTCTAGACGTTCTCTCATTGTATGTCATTTCAGCCTGAATCCAGCGTTGGGTCCCTTCTGACGAGACATCCAGTAAATCAACATTATTCAGAGCGGCATATGCTTCCTTGACTTCTTCCACAGCATCGACATCGCCCATTTCCTCAACATATACAGCTCCATTTAAGGCTCCATCCCCAGCATCATCTCCAGTTTTGGGTCCCAGAACATTGACGATTGTCTTCTGTAGCTGTTCATGGTTATCTCGGAATGTGCTGACATACTTCAATCTTGCTTGAAGGTCAAAATGTGCCGGGGTTATCTTGATGGGAATAAACTTTTCATTTCTCCGTCTCGTAACTTCGCGGGCAACGTTGGTGAACTCCTTGATGTGCTCGTCCCAAATCTTGAATATTGACTCCGTCGTCAACATTAGATTTTGGAATTCTCGATATTCCAGATGCATTAGGGACTTGCCGTGGAGCAAGTTATGCAACTGGGCATCCAGATCTGCCGAAATGGCTTCTACCAAAGGTAGTGCTCTCCGGATTGGATAGGGGCATATCCGTAGCTTTCTATTCAGGTGATTAAAAATCAAGCCCAAAGCTTCCTGGATTTTTGAAAGGGAAGTTGCCGAAAGCAACTCGTCCAATGGAAAGTCTCGCATCAGCTGATTGTATTTCTGGACCTTTTCCACAGCCTCTTTCAATCCAGTATCAGCTTGGAAACTCACAGTGGCCTGAAATCGCTTGGCAGTTCGAAGAATTTCCATGGTTAAGCTAACTCCTTCACCTTTTAGCTGGCTCGCAATTCCTTCAAGTGCAGATTCCATGGATACCCAAAAGTTGATCTCCTGAGTCGCATTACCGCTGCTTGGATCTCGCGACATCTTGGTTACTGCTTGAATAGATTTGATCCAACCATTGACAATTGATTGCACGTTATTAAGAAATGTGCTGTCCTGCAATAGGGCTGCAGGAACTAGTTCTGCGGAAGGGCGTATATTTCGTGCTGCGGCTTCTTCCAGAGCTGTCTGAACCATTGGATGCATAGGCAAAATCAAATCAGGGATTTCGATGTTTTGTTGCAGATGAAGCAAGCTTAGTTCCAGCTCTGCCATACGCTTCTTGGTCACCGGTATTCCCGTCTTTGCTTCAGCATCGGATCTGCCTCGAGCGCCATTTGTGCTTTGCTGCTTTTTCGTATATGCATCAAAATACGGCGCCAGCGCTAGGTGTACAACAGAATGCAGGACTTCGAATGGAGAAACCGAGGTGCCCTGTCCACCGGCGCCGCCGCTCAGCGAAGCAACGCCCGGCAAATTAATAATTTGTATTTGTGATGTAATGGGTATCGTAGGATCTATAGGAAGAGGTCGTTTCAAAAGGGCAATGGAGGCAATCGTTGAGGGCGAGAAAGTGATTTCAGTTGCGAGACTATAGCTATAACTAGTTGGGGCTGTGTGGAGAGTTAGCGGTCTTCAGACATCCCTTCCCATAGAAAAACATACTGGATTCATCAAGGACAGCTTCCAGCTCGCTTCCCGGAGAGAGTTCCTTCTGTATGTAGAGTACATCTTGGGATTCTGCCCAGCGTTGAACACGCACAGTCGTATCAGATACCTTCGCTTTGGATAACAAGCTTCCGGAGTTCACCAGGTCGCTTTTGGTGGCTCCCAGAGTGATTTCGCAGACTTGTGTGAAGTGGTCGAGGATGATTTGAGGGTCGATTTGAAAACCCCCGTTTGCAGCAACGCCGTTCGCTGGCGACCCAGCCGAACCTGGAGACGTTACCTCCATCATGGTTGTAATTTGTCTTCAGTTTAGAGTCATCGCCGAATGAGTGAGGCAGAGGGGGTGGTCGTAGTCGTGGTAGGATAGGGAGCGCAAAAGTGAGTGGTATCGCCGTGGAGAGTGGTGTGGTGGTGGACTGGAATTTGTGGTTGACTGTAGGTGTTGACCTACCTAGGTAGATTTCCGCGTCGCGGGTGCTGTACAATCTGCAAGATCACGAACCCCTGCATGAATATTAAACTCCACCCGGCTGCGCTCAACATCCCATGCGCTGTACTTGTACGCTACTGTACCCAAGCCGAGACCCACAACCCTGCCAATAGACTATACAGTAGCTACCTATAACTGCCCTATCAAAATAAAGAGTGTTTACATTAGCACTGATCCTTCGACAAGATTCACTGTGATGGACAGTATACATTCACTCGTCTGGTCTGCCTACCTAGTAGATTACTACGGAGGTCGTCTAATTTTTCTGTTTACATACCCGTCTCTGGAAACGCGTTTCGCTAGTATCAACTCACGCCCCCGCGAAACCCCCTCCCCCTCCCCAATAAAAAGCATTTAAATCTTGCTACGTCATCTTGTTCATATTTGCTTGTACATCTTACAGTCAAAAAAAACCTGGCGACCCCCAGGCTCTCGCTACACCTCTTATCATTACAAAGCATACCCTGTCCTGGTTGCCTCTCCATTTGGACCCATACCCTCATAATATTTACAATTGTACAGACGTGAAAGGAGAATCGAAGAAGTGGCCGATGGAGTAGATGACAATCAGTTTCTACCATCACGCCCCCGGTCACTTCAAGAGAGGGGAGTGTCTAATAGTTCTCGAAAGTTTTCTTAATCGAGTGGTACACCAGCGATGCCACTGTCTGATGCGGATCCTGCAAATGGCCCAACCTGCAATTCTTCGTCCGCAGCAATCATCTCGGCAAGCAAATCGAGGACCGGTTTCGATACCTATAGTCCGTCAGTCAATGATCCAAAGTGCCCGTGCCACTAGACTTACAGTTTTGTCATAAATGGTGATCAAGTCGGCTGGGGAGGGGTAAACTTTCAGAGCCTTATAGAAACAAAGGGCCGCCTCGAAGTTTGAGCCTACAACCAATCAGCATATGCCATCCAAGAAGCTATCAATACTGCTTATTACCGTCTGCCTGTAGCCGTTCTCCCTTCTCCACTTCCACCATGAAATAAGACTCTTTCTCGTCCGAATCGTGGGGAAACCCATCCTCCTTCGCCTCAGCCACCCGGATCTTGACGAACTCGCGCTCTCGCTTCTGGTCCAGTTCGGCTTGCTCTCTTGCGGCGCGAGCTTGTTTTTTAACCTCCTTCTTTAACGATTTTCGGAAGTTGGGGTCTGTTCGCCGTCGGTGGTCGAAATAGATGGCACTTTGGGATGTTAGCTGTCCTGTGTAATCGCAACTGCGGAAGGGAAATCTCGGCCGCGCATCATGGTGGATGATTGGGGCCAACGGTGTCGTTGGGGGTGACGCACTAGCCTGCAGCCGGTGTTAGCAAAAACAGACTACATCCAAACAACCATTTGAGGCTTCGAGGGCGCACCTAAAATTCCCGTCGCAAGTGTGCCTACAGTGGCCAAAACGATTGTGTTGGTAGTTGGCATGTTGGGGGACGGGCAGAAGATATCTGGATGCAGAAGACGTATCGGAGGGCCGAGGGAGCGTGAGCTTGAGCTTCCAGGCAAGACGGATGGAGGTGCGGATGGTTGGAAGAATATGAGCTTGTGGTTGGGGTCGGCTGTTCAAAAAGTTGCTTCGACAGCCTAGGATGGGGTCTTGGCGCGGTTGACAAGGTCCCGGGGCTGCGAGGTCTGTTAGCGTGCACCATGACACTGACGGGAGAGTCCAAGCAGGCGATAGTGGACGGGAGTCGGGAGTCGGGAGTCGGGTCGCTCGGTCGGCTTTTCGGAGCTTGAGGTTGTGTGGCGGGTGTGGTTCAGTTCCCGATGCACCACAATGCGGTAATCCCATACCCATAGAGCACCAGAGAGTACCTAGGCGAGCTAGGTACGGAGGTAGGTACTTGCCTACCATATCAACCTTGGTGATACTTGTACTGTGCTCCTACTCCACCACCAATACAGCGTGTGCTTTCAACCTGAATACCCTCATCCACCAACCACCACAATGTCGGAATCCAAAGGAATTTCTCTCAGGACGAAGAGGAAGGGCCCGCGCCCCACGATTGGTGCACCGCAGCAAATCTCAGGTCCTATACCTCAGACGGGAGGTGGTCCTCGAGGCCCTCCAACAGCTTACAACCCACCTCCCCAGGCGCGGCCGCAACCAAGTGGAAAGGTAAGGCCTTTCCGTCGCGGAATCAAAGCATCGTAGTCTAATGTAACTGTAGACTTCTGATCTGGTGAAAAAAAGATACTCGACCCGTTTCAATAACCTTCCCTCCGACTTTGACGCGACTGCCCCCCCTCTTCCATCGATTCCACAACTTCCCAATCAACATGCGCAAGCTAGTTCTCGCGGTGCACCACCTCCAAGTCTACGGAGTGGTCCAGGACTGACCGTGGACGTGAAGGCATTACGGGATCCGAATCTGCGCCCTGAGAAATATATAGCTGGATTGCTAGGGAATGCCTCGGAACAGGAAATTGACGAATACCAGCAATCATTGAAGAAAATGCGCAATCGTACCTCGGTTGACCTTCAGCAAAATGTTTATCAGAACCGAACTCAGTTTATCAAAATTAGCAAAGAGGCAGAACGGTTGAAAGGAGAAATGCGCGCCCTCAGAAATCTGATGTCAGAGCTCAAAACCAACACAAATGCTCTCCGTACTGTCTCTTCTCAGGGATCAGGTGGTAATGATTTTGAAACTGGATTTCCCTCGACCTTAAGCAAGAGGGACAAGAGAAGCTCTGTAGCGGATCGAACTGCGATGTGGAATTCCCAACTTCAGGTGTGTTTCTATTCCCCGTTGCATATGAACCCAACTTAAGTACTAAATTGAACCAGGCTTTGTGGAAAAACGTTGAAGGTTCCCAAAAGTTTCTGCCAGCATTGCCTGGTCGCCACGTCGTACAAAACGCAGGTTTATGGATCGAGTTGGATAGCGCGACATGGAAATCCAGAAGAGCCATGCAAATCTTCTTACTCAATGATCACCTTCTTATTGCTTCGAGAAAAAAGAGAAAGGTTGAGGGAAGCGCCGCTGACCAACGGCAAGCGCCATCGAAACTTGTAGCCGACAAATGCTGGTCTTTGTTGGATATTGAGCTGGTCGACCTTGCTGGGACTAGTGAGTCAAGTAGCAGTAGAAACAAAGTTGCTGACGCTATTATGATTCGTGGTGTCGGGCAAGAGTCCTTTACCTATAAGACAGAAAAGCCAGGGGACAACGATAAATCATCCTTGATGATGAATTTTAGAAAAGCGGTGGAAGAGTTACGAAAAGGCCTCAGGTCTGAAATGGAGTCGAGTAACAAGGCCAAAGAGACTATCAATTACTTTGCCTCACGCGATCCGGGATTGCTGAAGAAGACAGAATTACTCGGAACACTATCTGACATCAAAGACATGTTAATTGACGTTGATGGGAAGCAGCAAAATTTACGATGGGTTGAGAGTCAGGTGGACGAGCTTGACATTGATATTGCTCTTCAGCAGTTTGATGCAGCCGTTGTTCGTGTCGAAAAACTCAATGCATTAGCTCGGGGACTCAAAAGCAATGTGGTTGCCCAAGACTTTATAAGCTTTAAAGCCGATGAGCGAGCCACCAAACTTGCGGGCCTCATCACCCGTGAGCTTGTAGACACGCATAATGAACTGAAAAAGACGAAGAGGAATATTAGTTGGTTAGCAAGACTAGGGTTCGAAGATCGTGCGAGAGAAGCATATCTTGAAGCGCGAGGCAATACAATCCACAAACGTTCGAGGTATGTACAGTCGGTCCTAGACGCGCATAGAATACTAATAAATTTCAGGCAATGCATTTTCGAGGGAGACCTTCGCCAGTATATCTGGGAATTGTCGTTTGTATACTTTACCATCATTCGCAATACCGTGTCTACATTTCAGACTTGCTTTCCGCCGTTGCTCATGAGTGCCTGTGTCAAATGGGCTAAAGAGCAGGTGGATGCATTTAATATTATACTTGCGCGCCAACTTAGTAGCACGGATCGAGATGGGGAGGCTTGGACAGCATGTATGGATCAAGCCAAAGAACATGCGAAGATGCTCCAAGAGGTTGGTCTGGATTTCAAGAGCCTTATTGGGCGGGCTCCTATCAAGGACCAACAGAATAGCAATGGGTTGGGTGTTTCTATGTAGTTGGTGAGGTTGATAGACATGAATTGGTTTAATTCCCCCTCAAAACAAAAATATGCGAATGTTCACTACCTACCTATAATATGATTGTGAGTTGTACTGAATTTACATATAATTGGTGTTGATAAAAGATAAAATTGTGTATTTTCCACAGATATATTTAATTCACGTATAAACGACTGTATCGCGTCATTCACTAATTTATATGCTCGTGACTCGTACCCAAATGGAGCCCTCAGAGGGCGCTGGTTGGGACAGCGGTTGAGGCGTCCCGCAAAGCCTTGTCCTGTCCTGCACAGTAAGCGAAACAAATCAACCTCCCAAGAAGTGGAAGGAGGCCGCACCTCCAAAAGCGACCCTGCCCTCTACATACCCATCAACATTCTGTGATACCCAACCCACTTACATCCTCAACATTGCTCAGCTTGCCTTTCACGTACCTCTCTCCCTCTGGTAAGAACCAGATCCAGATCCAGATCGCATCCATCCTAGGAACCCTCCCCAGGGCCCTCCTTTTACATCCCACGCACGCGCGTGCCCTTGTCGTCACTCGAGCTTGAGCTCCCCTCCCCGCCATCATCGTCAGCCTCCTTGTCTCATCCTCGAATTTGCGCGCCCCAGCACTCAAAGCACATCATGGATACCAACATGGAAGATGTTAGCAGGGCCCCCGAACCTCCTCGGGTGTCGCCCATTACAGAGCCGGCATCAATACCTACTCTGGATGGATGGATTGAGGCATTGATGCAATGCAAGCAATTGGCCGAGGTGGATGTGCAAAGACTCTGCGAGAAGGTACGTTGGCTAGCAGATGCAGAAATTCTTTTCGCAAGAGAAGGCGCTTGGAAGGCAGCTCTGACAGTGTGCATAGGCTCGAGAAGTATTGCAGGAGGAGTCGAATGTGCAGCCGGTGGTAGGTAACCTCCGCAAAGAGAAGAAAGGTCGCCCGACTAACTCGCCCTTAGAAATGCCCTGTGACGGTTTGTGGAGATATTCATGGTCAATTTCATGATTTGATGGAACTGTTCAGAATTGGTGGCCCCAATCCAGACACCAACTACCTCTTCATGGGTACGTACCGCGAATACCCTTCCTTTTTTTTCTATCTGCGGGCTAACGGAGTACGACAGGTGATTATGTTGACCGAGGATACTATTCTGTCGAGACCGTTACTCTCCTTGTCGCGCTCAAAATCCGATATCCTAGCAGAATTACCATTCTTCGAGGCAATCACGAATCTCGCCAGATCACCCAAGTCTACGGTTTTTACGATGAATGTCTCCGAAAATATGGAAATGCAAACGTTTGGAAATACTTCACCGATCTGTTTGATTACCTACCCCTCACCGCCCTCATCGACAACCAAATCTTCTGCCTCCACGGAGGTCTCTCCCCCAGTATTGATACCCTCGATAACATCAAAGCCCTCGATCGTATACAAGAGGTTCCCCATGAAGGTCCTATGTGCGATCTATTGTGGTCGGATCCAGATGACAGATGCGGATGGGGAATATCTCCTCGAGGAGCGGGGTATACCTTTGGACAGGATATTTCAGAAGCTTTCAATCATAACAATGGTTTGACGTTGGTTGCCAGAGCCCATCAGTTGGTCATGGAAGGATACAATTGGTCTCAGGATCGAAACGTGGTTACTATCTTCTCAGGTAAGGAGGAATCCACCGACGTTGTTTGTGTTTCAATATTCACTAACTTTTCATAGCTCCAAACTATTGCTACAGATGTGGTAACCAGGCGGCCATCATGGAGATTGATGAGCATTTGAAATACACATTGTGAGTGACACTTGATCTTAGCAATCAATTTAAGTGGGTGTACAAGGCTAACAAAAAAATCTAGCCTGCAATTTGATCCCTGCCCAAGAGCTGGCGAGCCGATGGTTTCACGACGTTTGTTTCCCCTCACGACCCCAGAATCTTCGAAGGCTAATCTAGATAGGTACTCCCGACTACTTCCTTTAAACAAGAAATATCACGAGGGGTATTCATCGCAATGGTGCGTATTACGAGAGCAACCTTTTGAAGCGAGGAAAACTTATGTTTGCGTATAAAAAGACACGCTATGGGTGTTTCCTTTGGGTTAATAACCATGTGATATGCCTCGGACTCGAGGTCGGTGAGAAATGATTCAGTCCTTTGGTGCAAAGCGAATTCTTTCTTGTAGACTTGCATTAGACTTCTTACAGGAATGCAAAACAAAAAAACAACAGTTGACGATATACCCTTCTGTGTTTTCAAGGTAAGGGGTTCAAGACGTATCTATTTCACCACGCGATGAGGGTTTTTTCTTTTGAAAGTAGTTTATGAAGAAACCTTTGTGCGTTGTGGGCTGGAAGGCTGGAAGGGTGTAATGGGTGCAAGTAGAGATAAGATACATTCGTGGTTGTTGAGGTTAAATTATGATTCTTTTTTCGCAAGACATGGGTTTTATTGACTATTCCTTGATCTCTACTTGGCTTTATGGTAGATAAAGGTATAACGATGTGACACTAGGTAAGAAGTTGGTTTCTTTCTGCGTACGGAAATTGTTTTACGATGTTGTGCGATGATGAGATGTTAGTTTTCTGTGGAAGGACTTGGATTAAGGTTGGATTTGGACTTTTTGTTTTGTTTTGTTTTGGTTCTGGTGACTCGGGCGTAAGCCGCGTGTTTTATTCAGTTGGTGTGGCTTGGAATGGGTTGGTTGGGTGTGGTTAGGTATGGTAGGTGTGTTGTGATCTTTTGGTAATGACGGGAATGGATAGGAGGGGTGAAGACGTTTTTTATGGGTTTTTATGGCTGGGGAGGTTAAGGGAGGGAAGGAGGGATGTATGGTATGGTATCGTATCGTGTCTTATGTGATCTTGTGGTAACTCGGTGAGCTTGTTCTGTTATAATGTATCGTGGTGGTGGTTGTGGTTTTTTGACCCCTTTGGGCAGTGCTGGTGGTGCCTCCTATTAGACGAACATTTTTGGGTTTTCTAAGATCTCTTCCCCTCCTTAGGTCAAACTAATTAGGAGAGGGGGGAGTTTTTTTATAGGAGTACGTCTAGATTATGAGATCTAGTATGAGTACGAGTGGTACTCTGGAAAAATAGTTTACCTAGGTAGAGTAAAGTAGATGGGGCTAGAGTATTCTACTACCTAGCCAATCGGGAATTCTTCGTCCCGTCCCCGGTACCACTATAAATCCCTTCCCACACACACCCCACCCTAAAACCGCCACACTTTTCCCACACTCATGTCAAAACGTTAACTACCCAAATAATCTCCCTGCATCTATCCTCACCCAACAACAGCCCGGTTGGCACAATTGGTTAGCGCGTGGGCCTTTTACATCGAAACTCCTTATCTTCATATGGAGTGATGTAGGATAGCCCAAGGTTGAGAGTTCGAGCCTCTCATCGGGCGGATTTGATTTTTTGCTTTTTTTCTGTTTTTTTGGGATAGTGCCCGGGAGTTTTAGGGTATGTTTTAATCGGGGGAACTAGGGGGACATTTTTAGAACATAGAGGGTAGGTAGGAAGGCTCTTCGGGTCCTGAAAAACTTCCGAATTCGTACAGAGGAGACACTGTTTTGAACAACAGGTTTCTTACTCTACAAAATTCAGAAAAATATACAAAAAGTACTATCGGACTTGGAATTAACCCATCTACATTTTTACTAGTACTTATGTATCTTTTTAGTTACGTTGTCATGATTTATTGTTTAAAAGGTGCGACAACAAGTGTGATTTGGGAGGAACAAAATAGGAAGTTTTTTCAGGACCCGAAGAGGAAGGGTAATTTTAGGGAGGGGAAGGAAGGGGAAGGAAAGGGAAGGTACCTAAAATAGAAGAGATATATTTAGTTTCGTACTTATTCTTCTAGGACCTACCTAAGTAGCCGAATAAACTACCTACTCGAGTAGAGTTAAATAGCGAGTTAGTTTTTTTAATTATACTACCGAGGAAATCTTTTTTAAATTTCGTATCGTTTATCTCTTCTAAATACTAGAGTAGTAGAAAGAACACGTACTTCTAAGTAGAGTTAAGGTACTTATTTATACTTTTCTAATATTTCCTCTAGAAATTAAGGTCTCGTAGTAAACTAGCTCGCGTCTCTAAATACTTAATTAAGCCTTAATTTAATCTAATTATTACCTCGACTTATATTTACTTTAGACCTACGTATATATATAGCTAGGTACTCTACCGAGTAGTATCTAGAAATAACACGTATAAAACAAGGATTAAACAAGAAAATCATAATCGACCTACTTAGTTACGCAGGGAAGTAGTTGGTTTAGTTCTATAGTTAAGTAGGATCCTGGCAATCTAGTTTAATATCCTCTCGTCTCGATGTGGATTTATTCCTCGTTATACCGAGATTGGGATCCTAGTAGTAGTATAGGGATAGGGATCGAATTTACCTAAGTACTAGATCGTAGTAGAGAACTTTTTAGATAAATTGAAGGATAGATAAGTGAAAGGGAAAAGAGGAAAGAGAATTATTCTTCGTGAAGTAAGTAATTTAAAGTAAGTGAGTGGTATCCTAAAGTACTATTACATATCCCATCCATCTATCCATTGTTACGCGTGTATCCCTCTAGAAATTCCTTTCCGAGGTATTACTCCTTCCTTCCTCCCTTCTGGACCCGGCTCCCCTCCCCTCCCCCATCCACAGATTATCATTATCGTGGTATATTCATGTCTTCATCTCATCTCCTCGTTTCAACACCTTGCCTTGACTCCTTGACTCCACTTCTGAACACCGGTCATTATTAATCCCCAGACGGCCTCAAAAAAGCCAACCTCTACATCTAAGAGCACCCAAAATCTAACCTGCCCCCAAACCTCCCCCCAAGTCTAACCTACACCCCTTCCTCCGCCCCGATTTCTCGGCTTCGAATCAAAGAAATCGTGTTCTCATATCTGTCCGTCATTCGCATATATACATTTCATACAGTACAAATCGACGCACGCAATACTTAAGAGGTGTCGCCGTTTTGGCTCTAATGATACGAGGATTGTGAAAGGGTGAGGGGAGATATAACAACGAGAATGTCGTGAGGCGGGTTCTTAGATTAGAGTAGCGATATGATTCTTCCATTTTGAAATTTGGGAGTTAAAAAGAGAAACTTCCCGACATTTCATCAGCGATGAATTAGATCGAACTTCCTCACATAGCATGCTCCATCACCTCTTCCACAAACGAAGACCTGTGAATCACAGGCAACGTCTCAATCGGGGAATCCGTCGCAGAACCCGCTACGGTGGTGGAGGTCAATGTCGGAACGTCCTCACCGAATACCGTCTCCATCCCGGTATTGATACGCGAAGCACGGAGACTCTTCCGCTGCTTTCGCTCGAGATTCTCAAATACATCCTGGGGTGGTCTGTTGGGAAGTTCCTGTTTGTCTGGTTCGTAAAGGGTGTTCGTTCCAGATGACATGTACGAAGCTCTGGTAGCCCTGCTGCTCTTGCTAACTTTGGGATCCTTATCGGTATCGAGAATGTGCTCTTCGTCTGTGAGCGTGGCGGCTGGTGCATCGTGGAAGACTTGTTCTTCGCTGTCACACAGAGTGCCGCGAGGTAGTCCGTCTTTCTTCTCGTTGACGAAGTCGTCGGGTCGAAGGTAGTCTCCAGGACCGTGACTCCCGTTCGGGACGAAGAATCGTTTGTCGACTCGGACTGCGGCGTAGAGACCGACGACGATGATCTCGATGGCGAAGTTAAATGAGTAGAAGCATGCTTTCGAGTGATACCAGGCTGGATCTGTTCGAAGGCGAGGAGTAAAGTAGTTTGTTACGGTTCGGAAGCCGGCTCCAACTGTTAAGATGGCACTAGCAAATACTAAGACCCATATCTTAGTTCTAAATCTTCCTTCTCCGAATTTCTCCACGCGGCCCTCTTTGGGAACCAGTAGCTTGAGCAGAAGAATTGGAAGTGGAAGAAAGGCAGCGACTGCAAAATAGGTGCCTGCAAAAAGCTGAATATCTCGGTCGATTCGACGTGTGTTGGTGGAGAGCGTATAAAAGCTTTGCACAGTAACCGTGATGATAATTATCAGGACGATGACAATGGTAGCGAAGTAGGCCTTGAATAGTAGCGAGAACCATTTCTTCCACGCCCATTGCGGATATGAAGCTCGCAAAATTCTCTGGACGAAAACCAGGTTGATGATAAACAGGATAATCACACCAGCTTGTACAAAGATATTGGCCGCGATGGCTACGGGGATCTTGGATGGGTATGATGCCCAAACGAGTCGCATGGTACATGCCGCAATACGAGCCATGCAGAAACCAAATATCAGACCCGACATGAGGAATTTCCTTCCCAGGCGTTGGTTGAGTTGCAGAATGGTCATGTGGACAATGGCTCCGAGAACGAAAAGCATCAGGAAAACGACGGTGATGGTATCATCTAGATCCTTGGTAGGGAGACCACCGAGAAGGGCATTTTGAGGAGCATACGGAGGGTCCTGGGGGGCTTCTCCGGTCGGCTGATAGGAAAGTATTGGTATCTATACAACGATTTGGGAGAAGGGAGAACATACAGAACCACCGCCACCTGCACCAGCAGCATCGGGACTTGGAGACGAAGACATGCTGGGATTCTTGACGCGAGAGGCGTTTACAAAATATGGTATGGGAAAGGAAAGCTGGTTCAATTAAAGTGACGGGTATGCTGTGCAATCACCGTAGGCTCATCCGTTGGACGATATTGCAGCAGTGGAGGAGGAGTTCATATGGATATGCTGGCTTCGGGAGTATGACAAGAAAGAGAGGAGGCAAGGGCAGGAATACACGACAGCACACCTACCTTTTATTAGATCTATTGGACTTCCAATACTACTACTAGACACGTTAGCGTCACGGAACATCGCCCTGATTGCAAAGCGACGGGAAGTATTGAGTCGGTTGTCGGTACTCACAAGCACCGAGGAATGAAGTCTGTTCAATGGTAGAGATTCAAACAGAGCATGCCGATCCATGAGATGGTGGCGCCGTGTCCTAAGCGAGCCAATAAGAAATTGAGGATTACTCCGGAGGACGGAGCTTAAAACGCCGTGGCTTGGACAGGGGTGCAGCACTTGATTCACAGACAGATGTTGACGGTGACGATAAAACACAGTCAGTATGGCTGTGTCTATAATTCACTTCTACACAAATTGCAAATAGCCTCACTACAGCCACAGCCATCCCAAATCTCCATCATCATCGACATGTTCTTCTCCAGTTTTTAGGCTTCACGGCGAGTTTAGCGACTTCTCGGGCTCACATAATTCCTTCTTCACCACAGAAACCGGGGGTCCGACGTTGACCACATCATCATGTCAGATCTAGCGTCGGCGAGCAAGGCATGGGAATAATACCAATACAAGTTGCGATGTAGTATCATTCTTTGCAGGAATCGCTGCGTCGGATCGGATTCCATACGTACGTACATTCGAAACATGGCAATTTTACTCATGTACACTAACCGACGTTCATCTTCGTATTGAAATCAGAGCATCGCGATTCGAATGCACGCAAAATTTCATTGCTAGTATTTCTAGAGAGAAGATCTTTTGAAAGGGAGGATGTACCGCCGAGGTTTGCAGCAAAGCTTGTCGATCTTTCTTGAATCTTGCAGAGAAAAGAAATATAAATAATCCAAACAGATCCTCCTCAAGTACCTTAACCAGGCAACCACACACAGACGACGGAAGCTAACTCGCGGTTTTACCCGTTTCGAACGTATCTTACCGCTCTGTAGTCTGTATTGAGGTTTAGACAACGACCTGAGCGTTTCTTGTGCATAACTAACCAGTTTGTTTACAAAGTTAGTATCTATTTACTATCGGATAGTCCTGTAGTAGAGCTACAACAAAATACCAGTAAGTTCTGTTCTATCCTAAATACCATCGAAGAACACAGAAAGAAATTCAGATTCGTCTTCTTCAAAAATTTCAAGGCACTGTACTAAGGTAATATTCCACCCAACCATCCTCACCACATAGCAACCTGGTAAGCTTCCCGCGTGCGTTAGTATAGTTCGACGTACAGAACGCTTCACAGAATGCTTTGCGTACATTAGTCTCAATTCAAGAATCTCTATTTACAGACCGCGTATCCCATTTCCCTAGAAACAGAAACCGTCTTAAGTTCGATTGGACCATTTCTTCAGATCGCGTTTTGGACCTCTGGTTAGGCTACTGTAGTGCTTGGAGGGGATGAACAGATGGTCTTGAATTATTAGTGGTGTTAGCGACCTCGTCCCATGCTAAGCTCGTCTAATCAATTGCAGTAGTAATGTTTCAGATTTTCTTCAAGCGTCACGGCGGGGTAGTTGTGTGTTATGATGTTATCTTATCATCAACCAGTAGATTAGTGGAAAATTTCAAGATTGGACTACAGGTGGAATCTGGAAGTTCATTTCCTATGTAGATGACCGAGATTCGCGTAGGAAGTGGTGAGACACCTGGTTATTACCCCTATATACGTATATATCCTGAGAGCTAAATTCTACCATTGCCATTAATTATGTATTATCTATAGGTTAATTAAAAGTACTAGTGTAGAGTTCTCGAAGCCTAGTAAATAATTCTTCGTTACCGTCCCCTAATACTTAACTTAGATAACTAAACATATAACGGATTAGACAAGTAAACAAACAACTAACTTATTATACCCTAAGCGCGGCCGCTAGCCTTCCGTTCCGGCGTCGGATCTGACCATAAGAGTGGGTAATCGCTTTCCGCTGGAGCGGCTGTGAGTATATTATTCACTACATTCACCCCCTTAGCACTCATAACCTCAAGTAACACCCCTCACACCAAGTCATCCGGTATATACTTGGGTAGCTCAATGGAAACATTCAGTGAGAGGTCTATCGTGATGGCTAGTCAAATTGCAAAAAACTAAGTTCGTCTGGTTTCTTGTCCGAGACCACCCTCTACGAGGGCGAGGATTCTTTTGCTATTTTTTTGGGAGGGCGGGTCTGGGTGGGATGGGGGCGGGGGAAAGG